TGATCATCTCTAATTTCATATCATGCATGTTCTAAATAAAATAAACATGTTATTCTAAATAACCTCAAATATATAGAAATCTATCTAAATAGCATGCTTAACAATAAAATAAATGTAATTGTTATATTCAACATACTAATATTACTCTAAATAGAATATCAGTAGGCTAAATAAGTAATCATGTATTTATTTTATTTAATTTTTTTGCAACACATGCTATTTGAAAAAGAATAATTATTTGAAAAATTCATCTTTAAATTTAATGTTATCGATCTATATGCACAATGTACCAAATCAGCACACGAGTCATGAAGTTATAGTAACTCATCTTATTGTACACCAAAAAATAGTATTTCAATGTTGACAAAATAGTGGGTCTCATAAACTCGTGTGCATGTATTAAAAAACTGTCAACTACTATGACATTCTTATATCTTTCATTTGTTTTTTCTTTTATTGCTTGCGTCACTTATTGGAAGATAAGTAATCAAAAGACTTAAAAACCACAAACACATGTTCCGGTAGTCTCGCCCACAACCACAATTTGTGTAAATCCATTCCAAACTTCTCGCTTTCTTACTTATTGACAGAAATCAAACTAAGGCAGTCATGAATGCGTGCGGCGATTTCAATTAAACATGAAAATTTTTGAAAAAACTCAAACTCTCAAATTGTGAGATCGTTTGTGACAAAATTTTTAAGATTATTTTATATTTATACAGACTATTACATATTTAAATTTCAATACATTCGGAGACCGTTTGTTGGAGATTCCATTAAAGTCTGTTCAAAACTTTTTTGCAAAAATAATATTTCTAAACAATTGATTATTAATCCCAAAGGTACGACAATATCCTAATTAGCTCTGATACTAAAGTTGGGAATTGTATAACATATTGCAAAAGCATAAGATCAAAAATATATCTTATTTGCTTTATTCTTAAAAACTGTTTGAGGATATTCTACATACTTTAGAATTTGAAAATCATATTTTCTTCGATTGCTTGAGTAGTATGGTGTTGTTACACAGAAGGAATTAACACCTAGTTTTCACAGCACAGAAGCCTTTCAACGTTATGTAGGGAGAGAGAGAAGAGAGTATGAGAGTTTTAATGTTAAATGAATTATCAGAGGTATCTCATATATTAGATTATCTTGAGTTTATATAGGCAATCAATGAGTGTCATTAAGAGACACATTATATAGGGACATGTCTGTTAATATTTAATAATATTTTGGATGAAAGATACTTCCAAAAAGACATGTCCCTTTAGATATCTTTTAATTTTGGTCAACCCACCCTGGGCGCTCCGGTTCGGGTCCATGACCCAACTAATTTCTAACAGAAAAAAATACAAGGAAGAGAAGTGTGAGAAAATTTTCGGAGGAACAATGCAAGAAAGATCTTTATTGGAAAAATGGAAATTTTAAAAAGGATTTAAGAAGAAATTTGATTTTGTCTATTGAGTGTTCTTTAATAAATCGAAATTTATACTCATTTTTTTATTCAAATTAAGGAATAAGTTCGACCTACGGCTGGGAGCAGTGAGTGCTTGTTATACAATATTCCTTGATTTTTTTCATTCAAAATCCTCAAAAAAAAAAAGTTCCTCAAAAAATTTCTTTGCTAGCCTTTTTGTGCGGAAGATTGTGTAATGAAGGAAAAGCATTTTACATTAAGAAGACAGCTGCACATTACATAACAAAAAAAAAAAGTACGTGGGGACCTCAATGTGAATCAGATTGGAGGTGAAAGATTGGGAAAAATTGGAGAATTGTGGTTGTGTGTAGAAAAAGTTGGTGTCCTTTTTTTATTTTCTTAGGTGGCATCATTGACTAGTCTATTTAAGGTGGGGTTAAGGTAATTGGGAGGAGAACCAACACACGGCTCAGCTTAGGGAGCAGAAGAGAGTATATCACGTGCAGAGTGCAGGAAGGTCCAAGTGAGGAATAAAGATATATGGACCCATTTCAAAGTTTATCTTTCCATGATGTTGCGGACTTATAATTCTCTTTGTTTTTTTTTTTTTTTGGTTTAACCATAAACAATGTTCTGACTAATTTACACATACTTCAGTTAATTTATTTTTCAGTTCGATCAAAAACAGACTATTTACTTCAAGACTAAAATATTCATAAAAAATAATTTTTTCATAACCTAACCCCAAGTAAATACAAGAAAATGCTAATAGATAAGGTTGTATATGGTTTGTTATTTGTGGTGCGTGTGTATGGGTCTCATATTTGGGTTTTGTGTTCGTTTGTGTGTGTTTGAGAGTGAGAGAGAGAGAATAGGCTTGGAGAATGTTATGTGCTCCATAGAGTGCAGTGTGACTCTGTTAGGTTGGGTTGTGCAGTTTTGAGTTTGTGTTAAATATCAATCAATTCTAAATTGGTGTGTTTAGTTAGTGACTCCCTACTTGTGAATAATCACTTGTTCGAGTTGACACACAAAACTCTTATTTGTCAAAGTGGAGCGAAAGGGAAATTCCATCGAATTTCTCTCCATGAAAGGAGTAGGGTCCTCAGAACGGATTTCATGTGGAAATATATCTCTTCAACCTAACCCAGGCTCAATGCTTTCATGCACCCCTTAAGGATTAGTCATCTTTATCTCTAAAGGGACATATTGTAACTCAATTTAAATTACGGTGTCCAATCGTTGAACTTGAAAGAATATTGGGCAACCAAAAAAAAACATCTCTTTGTTCTTATTTGCTCACATCAAGTTTCCTAATTGTTTCAGCTTGTAGGCGGTGTCCTGCTTGGAATAATCCCCTCTTTTAATTAATTAGGATTTCTCTTGATAAGTTATTCGTGTTATATGGACTCACCTTACAAGGCTTCGATTCTCTGAATTCCTCCTTGGGTTCCCCCTCTTATCCTATTTGTACTATGCCATGTTGACCTAATCAAGTGCTTGCTGATTAGGTCACCTCAAGACAGATATATCCAAGCTGATTTGGTTTAATGTGTGTGAACCAAGACGGGTCATTTATTGGCTTGGTTAGGGGTATCAAAATATATACCACTCGTTAATATAATATAAATACGATACAAAATTAGAGAATTTAAATATTTTTTAATCACCATTTTAGTAAATATGTGGATTCGATACGACATAATTAATAAGCAAATTGGGTATGTGTGAAACTAATCAAAAGAAATACACGACACAATTTGTTTATATACTAGTTATGCACAGTTCATATACGAAACGAATCCAATATAATACGATTTGTTAGACACGAATTAATAAATGAATCAAGTATAAATAAAATATTTTTTAACACAAACTCATCAAAACTCAACACGAAACACCCTCACCCGACATGGTTAATAAGGCTACCTGGGCCACGACCTGTTAGCGCCATAGGTTTTTAAAAACCCCTACAGTTCCCTTTTGGTTTTTTAAATAATACCCCAATTAATTTTCAAAAAAAATTTAATGATTTAGCAATTAATAACAAATTGGAGATGTAATCACATGTGTTAGCATTATTCTTAAAGATGAAGATCTATGATAGGGAGAGTTTGATGATCAAGGAAAAAACAACTCAAATTCCTGCAAAGTACGATTAGAAATGTAGCTTTATCAAAGAGACTTAAAAAGCTAGTTCAACGACAACAATACATGAAAATTAAAAATTAAATAGACTTTAATTAGGCCAATTCAATGCCAATAATACATTAGGTGCAGAATTGTGGCCTCAAGGTAACATGGCTCGAATTTTACCCCACCTCTCCTACATACAATGATTTGTTCATAATATTAATGTGGTACAGTAATAATATTTCAACCTAATTTATTGATTAATTCATAATAATTATTAAATTAATAGTGAGTCATAATAAATATTGAGATTTAATGTCAATTTAATAATTATAAAATAATTAAGTCAATAAATTAGATACAAATAGTATTTCTCATATATGTAATGACTCGTGAGTTAGCCAAGGATAATTGTTTGTTTTTTTTTAGTTCAACGATTAGGGGTGTCTGAGCTAACTTACGTGCAGATCAATTAACTTTCTTCCAATTCGATCAAAGATAAATTATATACGTCGAAATTAAGATATTTATGAGAGACAACTTACTCCCAAAAAATTATCAAAGTTGGAAATGTTTGGCTAACTGTCTTCGATATCTAGAATTAATTGACAAAACCCCGACTCACACATATAGACAACTTCCTGGCCGGCCACCACACATGCCACCAAAATCCAATAGAAGCCCACTCGCTTCTCCTCTCCTTTATATAGCCATCTCTCTCTCTCTCTCTCTCTCTCTCTCTCTCTCTCTTGAGAAGAATTTCAGACCCCTTCTGTAGCCATGAAAAGTTTCTTTCTTATGTTTCTGATGTTATAGCCTTATTTGTACACACCCATATATCCACTGAAAAGGCTGAAAGTGGCCCAGAAAAGAGTCTCTTTTGCCCTACTTCACTTCAACCCTAGTTATTTTTTGGGATAAGAGAGGAGATATTCTCATCTGTCCCTTTTCTATCCATGGAAACAACTGAACAGTCTATTTCCTTCGATTAATTTGCAGAATTTTCCCAAAAGGCTTACAGGGTTCTACTAATAATGGATCGTATTCCAATGTCCAGGTACCACCACTGCCAGTCTGGTCTCTATCTGTGTTCCTCTCTCTCATCTAATTTCTGAATTCATGTATCACCCTTTCTTCCTGCTATATTCTGAAATTAATATTTCGTCCCTCTCTCCCCCCCCCCCCTCTCTCTCTCTCTCATGATGCAATTCTCTGAGATTCTACCACCAACTCTGCACCAAATTTCTCCATTTGCGAGTCTCACCATGAACAAGAATCATCTTCTTCCCGCACGGCCGTGGCCTGGTTTTCCAGCCTTAAAATCACTAGGAAGGTTCAGCAATGCCAACTACATGGAACAATTACTAGTCCACTGTGCCAATGCAATAGAAAGCAACGACGCCACTTTAACTCAACNTCCCCCCCCCCCCCCCTCTCTCTCTCTCTCATGATGCAATTCTCTGAGATTCTACCACCAACTCTGCACCAAATTTCTCCATTTGCGAGTCTCACCATGAACAAGAATCATCTTCTTCCCGCACGGCCGTGGCCTGGTTTTCCAGCCTTAAAATCACTAGGAAGGTTCAGCAATGCCAACTACATGGAACAATTACTAGTCCACTGTGCCAATGCAATAGAAAGCAACGACGCCACTTTAACTCAACAAATCTTATGGGTCCTCAACAATATTGCATCCCCAGAAGGCGACTCAAATCAACGCCTCACTTCTGCCATTCTCCGAGCCCTCATAGGCCGAGCAGCAAGAAGTGGGAGTTCTAAAATGCTCTCAGCAATGGCAAATGTTCACTCCAATATAGCTAAGAGCACCCACAAATTCTCCATTATCGAGCTTGCGAGCTTCGTTGACATAACGCCATGGCATCGTTTCGGATTCACAGCAGCCAACGCAGCGATTTTGGAAGCTGTTGAAGGGTATTCAATCATTCACATAGTTGATTTAGGCTTGACCCATTGCATGCAAATTCCTACATTGATTGAAGCCATAGCTACTCGCCTGGAGGGCCCTCCACTTGTCAAGCTCACCGTCGCCGGCGCCACCGAAGATCTGCCACCGATGCTTGATCTTTCATACGAGGAGTTGGGGACAAAGTTAGTTAACTTTGCTAGGTCTCGAAACGTAACAATGGAATTTAGGGTAATTCCTTCAAGTTTTTCAGATGGGTTCGCCTCCTTAATTGAACAACTCAGAATGCAACAGCTAGTAAACACAGACAAAAACGAGGCTTTAGTCATAAATTGTCATATGTTGCTTCATTACTTACCAGATGAAACGCTATCGATTGTATCTACTGTTATTCCGACTTCATTTTCTGTCGAGACTTCTACTTCCTCGTCCTTTAGGACTACGTTTCTCAAGGGGCTTCGGGATTTAGACCCAACTATTGTAGTTGTAGTAGATGAAGATGCAGATTTTACATCAAACAGTTTGGTATCGAGATTAGAATCAGCTTTTAACTATCTATGGATACCTTATGATGCTGTGGACGCATTTCTTCCACGGGGGAGTAAGCAAAGGCTGTGGTATGAAGATGCCATTTGTTGGAAGATTGATAATGTGATAGCACATGAAGGTGTTCAGAGGGTCGAGAGGCTCGAGCAGAAGAGCCGGTGGGTGCAACGGATGACAAATGCAAATTTCCGAGCAGTTGGTTTCATTGAAGAAGGTGTTTCGGACGTGAAGAGCATGCTTGATGAGCATGCAGCAGGGTGGGGATTGAAGAGGGAAGAAGATCATCTTGTGCTTACATGGAAAGGACACAATGTTGTGTTTGCAACTGCTTGGGTAGCTAATTGATCAGTCTTCTTATTTTGGATTGTTTGTATCTCTTCTACTGCTTTTTTAAAAGATTAGAGCTTTATAATTTATCGTGAAATTAATAATTATAATTATTAAATTTAATTTTTAAATTAATTTTTTAAATTCATGTAGTATTACTCTTTGTCTTTTGGCTCATAGAGAATAAATCAAGCACTTCAATTACATTCTTTGATTTTTTAATGTTTTTGACTTTCTGCAATCCATCTTCCATATACCTTGGTGTTTTGGCCATAGAATAGCGGCAACTCCTCTCTCTCTCTCTCTCTCTCCCTCCTTCCTGCAAGTATCAAAAAAAAAATTTTGGTGCATTATTTTGGTTACTTAAGAGATGAAAATATTTTGTAAGTGCTTCAAAAATATTTCAAAAATTGAATAAAAATGAATAAAAAAACCTAAAAATTTATTCCGAAACATATTGAAACACATTTGTAGTAGCCTATAAAATCCGAACAGGTGTCTGCACTGCATAAGGACAAATGACAAGTTTAAAGGGTCAAGAGCTGATGTGGCAAGTTGGATCCCTACAGGGACCCATAATTGGCACCGTGAGGGAATGAGACACACCTTCACCTCAGTGGAAATGATAGAAGGAACCCTTGCCCAAAGGTGGGGGGATTGCAACGCGGAAGTATGAGAGTAACCTTGCCGCGAGACGTTTCCCCCATCATGGAAGTGAAGATACATGACTGGGATATTACGATTGGAATGTCGTGTCTAGTGAATTCTAAGGGATACCCTTGCAACAAGGCCCCTTTAAGAGAACCTACGACCCATTAATATTGGATGTCTATGGTGGTAAAGTCAACTAATACTTACCATTGCTTAACTAGCCCAAACTGGGCAACGGGATGGGCATTGATGGATCAAGCACAAATAGCCCAATTTATGTGAAAAGTTCAACCCTAATTGAGGAGCCTAATCTCATGAAAAATTCACCAAGCCCAATATAGTCCAAGACCAGTTAGACTCTTTGTTTAGCCACGTCATCAAGGGGGAGAGCATGGGAAGCTTTATCTGCACCACCGAAGGAAATGGTCCATCTTTGATCGTTTCTCATGGAGAGCTCCTTAACCACCTCGCTCGTTGAGAAGAGATCGGGAGTTCCACAGAAATAGTTGCTTAGTCGCTGGAAAGTAGTCCCAACATGTTAGGGGCCACTATAAATTGCACGTTCTATCAACACTTGAAAGGACACTGATTGTCTGGCACCACACCTTCCTTGATTCTTTATTCTCCCTCGAAACTTGTATTCTCTATCTCCATACCCTTAAATTAATAAAGTATTTGACAACGAAAGTCATTCAAGAGTGGACGTAGGTCGAGTTGACCGAACTACTATAAATCTTGTCTCCTCCAATTCTTTATTTACTTTTACTGCATTTATTATTTACACTTGACAGGTGGTGTGCAAAACTATTTTTGTATATTATCAGTTTGGCGCCGTCTATGAAAAAAAAGACAAAATTCTCATTCCTGAACATTCCATCCACTGAACCAATGACGATCACTACCCGATCCATGAACCAACACGAAGACAGTCCAACACGAGAGGAAGAGGTTGCTCCTCCACCAGCCAACCCTATCCTGAATGCTCTAGCTTCAAATCTCCAACAAATGTTGGAGACCATGCAGTAGCTGGTGGCCTAAAACCAACAACTACTACAACTCATGCTTGTTGGACAAGGAGGAGCACAATTGGGAGGTGCACAACCTGGAGGACTCCAAGGAGGAGCACAACTCGGAGGTGCACAACATGGAGGACCCCAAGGAACTCCACGCCCTGGACACCAAGGAGCTCCACGTCCTGCTGCACCACGCCTAGGCGCCCCCTTGGGCGCCCCACTTAGGGGAGCCCAACATAAGGGAATTCCACCTCCCTCTCCTCTTGCTTCCCATGGAGAGGACCTTCATCTCCAAGAGGATAAGGGCGAAAACCAAAGCATCGAGCATGGAAGTCATTTTCATAAATATTCCAGAGGAGCCCCCAATCATTGGGACAAAAAAATCAAGGAAGTACAAAATCAACTAGGTGATGTCTTCAACGCCATGAAGGCACAGGGACCCGATACTGTAGACCACTTGGTAAGGTGTACAGATACGCCTTTCAAGCCTGATATAGCAAACTACCCCCTCCCTCAGAAGTTCAAAATACCATCTGTGGAGACCTTTGATGGAACAAAGGATCCACTAGACCACCTTGACACTTGCAAGACTTTGATGCAGCTGCATAACGTACCAAACGAAATCATGTGCAGGGCATTCCCAACCACATTGAAGGGGTTTGCCCGACATTGGTTTGCTAAGCTCTCCCCCGCCTCCATTGCCTCATTCGCTGAGCTTAGCAGATCATTCGTTTCACATTTCATTGGAGGGTGTCGTCACCAGAAGCCTGTTACGCACCTGCTTAGTATAAAGCAGGACCGTGAGGAGAGCCTGAGGAGTTATCTCACTCGTTTTAACGACGAGGTACTCGAAGTTGATGTACCCGACGACAAGGTGACGATGACCGCCTTCTTGGGTGGCCTCCGTTCATCAAACTTCTTTTTTTCAGTAATAAAGCAACCACCAAAGAGCATGTCAAAACTATTGGCAAAAGCTCAAAGATATATGAATGCTGAGAAAATCAACAGGTTTAGACAAGGTGAATCATCTCGCAGATTACCAGAAGCTTGACCTACCTCTGCACTATTCTCAAACAGACAGTTTATCTTCAGCTTAGCGGCTCTCTCACGGGTCACCTAAAAAAAAACTTGGCCTCTGCACTGTTCTCAAATAGGCAGTCTATCTCCAGCTCAGCGGCTCTCTTCGGAGTCGGCAAAAAAGCTTGGCTTTTGCACTATTCTCAAACAGGCAGCTTATACCTCAAGCTTAAAGACTCCCTCATGGGTCACCAAAAGTTAGGTCTCAAAAGGTGTAGCTCTCTCACGAGTAGTTCTCCAACTCTGTCTTTGCTCTTGCGTAAGCAGCGTACCTCTTTCTCCCCAGGTAATTATGTGAGATATTTTAATATTTGAAAAAATATTATTTTTGTCATCGCAAGTAAGTTCGCCCAACTCAGCCCGACGGCACAGCACAGTCGGAGGAATGCGATAAGTAAAAACAAGCCTCGAGATATTTTCATCTAAATGGAACATATTGGAAAGGGTACTCACCTTGTCCCAATTTATTTTTTCGCTTTTTCTTTCGAGGCAGCAAGGAGTGGCCTAGGTCATCCTCTTGAGAGGTTTGGATTTGAGAAGTCACATTTGAAGGAGTCGTATTGTGATGACCAAAAGCGGCGCCTAAAGCTCCCTCGTCGCCCTCGTCACTTGAAGTGTCTAGCCCAACACTTGGAGGGGTACCTGACTGCCTTTGCTCGCTAAAACGGAGCTGCCCAATAACTGGAGAGGTGCCCGACCCTTCAAAATTGTACAAAATAGCATTTTTGGCACACAAAATAGCATTTTTGGCACCAAAATCAGCACCTACGACGCCCGAATCAGCGCCTAGAGCGGCGCTCAGATCTACCCCTGCACCCAGGCTGCTGCCCAGCTCTCCCTGCTGCACCTTGGACTGATTTCCTACATTTTCTGCTAAAAAATACTGCTGCCCATCGCTTGTGAGCTGCCCAGGACAACGGAATCTGCGTTGCCTAGCGTGTCTGAGCTGTCCAGGACAATAGAAACAGCGCCCAGGTTACTGCCCAGCCTTCCTGCTCACCCACTGTGCACGCCTGCTGTGTGCCTGATGGTCTGGACAGCCATATTTTTTGCCTGCACGCTGTTGTCCAGCTCCCTGCTCTGCGCACCCAAGCTGCCCAGCTTCCTATTTTGCGCTCCAAGGTTGTCCAGCACTCCACCCAAGCTGTCCAGCTCATTGTGCTGCACGTTCAAGTTGTCCAGACCCTTTTTCTGCGCACTCAAGCTGTCTAGGACAGCATTTTCAGCGCCTAAGCTATCCAGGACAACTCCTTCAACTCCCAAGCTGTCCAGGACAACCCTTCCAATGCCTGGGCAGTCCCTTGCACTCCAAGAAAATTCCTTAAATTCGCCCAAACCAGCGCCTAAAGTGGCGCCTACCTCCTGCTTTACTTCGATCTCCACCACTCCCTCTTCAATCAACATTGCCCACTTGAAAACTCCACCCGAAATGGATAGGACTTGAGTTTTCAAGGTTTTCAAGAGGTGGGTGCTCAATCTCAAAGTGAATGAAATGGGAAGGATAAAGGAGATGATTATATTTATAGCTTAAGGTTTTTAAAGAGGGAAAAGCCCAAATTGAAGGTTACGGGCTCTTTTAAAAATCCTAGCAAAAGTGGAAAAAACTTGAGGCATGCAAAACAAAAATACATTGTGGAGGGAAAGAGTCATCTAGCAGAGGAAGTTTTCACCATATGAAACTCAAGATGTAAGTTAATGCACCCTTCTCCAAGTCTCCTTGAACATGGAGCATTGGGGGGAAAATGATGGGTCAAGCCCAAATAGCCCAATTTATGTGAGAAATCCAACCCCAATTGAGGAGTCCAACCTCATGAAAAATCCACCAAGCCCAATATAGTCCAAGACCAGTTAGACTCATTGCTTAGCCACATCATCAAGGGGGAGAGCATGAGAAGCTTTATCTGCACCACCGAAGGAAACGGTCCATCTTTGACCGTTTCTCATAGAGAGCTCCTCAACCACCTCGCTCGTTGAGAAGAGATCGGGAGCTCCAACGAAATAGTTGCTTAGTTGCTGGAAAGTAGCCTCAACCTGTTAGGGGGCCACTATAAATTGCACGCTTTATCAACACTTGGAAGGACACTGATTGCCTGGCACCACACATTCCTTGATTCTCTATTCTCCCTCGAAACTTGTATTCTCTATCTCCATACCCTTAAATTAATAAAGTATTCGACAACGAAAGTCATTCAAGAGTGGACGTAAGTCGAGTTGACCAAACTACTATAAATCTTGTCTCCTCCAATTCTCTATTTACTTTTACTTCATTTATTATTT